CTATCATTAAAGTCCCAAGCGTGTCATGTTCAAGCTTATTGTAACATCCCCCTTTAAAAAAAAACAGGAATTATGTTATTCCGTATATTAATAATATTTTCCTACGTTTACTACGTATAATAATATTTTCCTGGTTCCAGCTTTGGTAGTGTTTGTCACAATTATAGTTAATTACACAAAACGTTACAAACGTTATAAACGTATCAATGTATTCAAAACATGTAGTTTTATTTACGTAGGTCCAGTATTTCAGGAACGCTCGACTGTTTTCTTACCGACAAAAGACTTCTCAGCAGTAGAGTCAAAATAATACCAACGGAATGATCTAATACTTGACCTTTAGATTGATAAATTAGAAGGAATAAAAAAATAAACACGTTTATTTTAAATAACTGAAAAACACTGTCGAAAATGTTTAATCTATCCTATCAATTTATGAATTATCGTATGGGAGAAACTAAAAGCATTTCATTCCGTGACTATCCTATATCACTCCGTAATACATAGGGATTTAAAAAGCTGCCTACATCGCGATCAACCAATTTAATAATGATATTTCTTTTCTGTATCAACTTCGCAGAAATTTTGTTTCTATTATCGTATTTAGTTAAATGAGTGATAATATAATTTCATACATTTTCCAGACGCTTATATCTGTCTTCGAAGATTAGATACTAAGACCTGCCTACATACCGACCTAACTACCTATCTTTCTACCTGCCTTCCCTGGTGATGTCTCCAAGACTTAACTTCTGATACTCATGATTGTAGTATACATACCTCCGTTACGACCATATACTCTGCGGATCAATAGCTCTCTCTCGTTTTTTATTTGTTTGAAAAAGGCAGATGATTACTCAAAAATTCTCATCCACACGACATCCAGTAGATGCACAGGCAACGAAAATATTTTACACTGATTGGTAGATCTAAATTGTAACAAGTAGATAGAGCATAAGAAAGCTGCATTTGTGTAAATTTTGTTAAGAACGAGAGTCTAAATCTTATTTTTCTATTCATCGGCAAGAGCTTTTCGAGATGCAAGAGGACTGTGTGGGCGTACTGTGAGTATAATCAATCTATCGAAGGAAAAATATAATACAATAAAAAAAAACGCATTTAAATATAGTAGGATTCATCTCTTCATAATTATGATCTCTGCTTATCTCGCCATTTTTAATAGTTTTTTGATAACAGCCATTGCCCTTCTACACGGTTATAATGACATTTGTTGTGTTATCTATTATTATGACTATCTATGAGTAATCGGTGAGAGAGTCGATTGAGTCAATCGAGTTGAGTTGACATGCTTATGCCCTTATTAACCTGTGTCAACAAACTGATATTGGCTTTGATAAAATGTAGGTAGACATTGTAGTGCCGAGATTTATTGTTCAATTAAAATGGTTGGTATAAGTAATTTACTGAAATTTCCAACTCAGCTTACTCAATTGACGGAGAATACTGTTTTTTGAAAAAAAAAAAGGTATTTACTATGTACCTGTCCGGGTTTTTGGTATCTTCATCGATTTGTCGGAAACGTTTCATGGGATTAATCTTTTTTAATCCGAATGCGGAATGCGATTAAACTAAATCTTGTGACTGACCTTGTGGTTGTTGGTAAATGTATGCGGAGGCGGAGGGGAGGCTCCGCCCCCTTACATATCATTTACTAACAATCTCATAAAACTGTTATAAATAAGGCATTTAAGTAAAAAAAATAGTAATTATTGTGAACGTCAGTCTGTCATGTTAATTATTATGACAGATCAAGGTCCAATACCTTGAAAGTATATGACACGGCTGCTTTAAACCGTTTGCTACTTAATGGCATTATCTTAAATTTGTTGATGTCGGGTTGTCATTTATAATAATAATATTATCGGACATCTTACACAAAGTCATCTATTTTTAAAACTAAGCTGAGCTTGTACTATAAAAGCTAGATTGATTGATTTTACAACAACGTTATTTCTTGTAATGCTCTTGCGATTGTGGATTCTTATAGTCCATCTAATCTAAGAGGTACCGTTTGACGTTTCATACTTTTTAAGCTAAAACAACTTTGTATTGGCGTAAGTCACACAATTAAAATAAAATTCGCCTAAAACCATATAATTTTGAATCTATTTCTATTTTATCACAAGATGTACAATTCTTATCGACTGAATTTAAATGTTAAACTTGTGAAATAAAGCAAAGCCACCAATATATACAATAGATAGAATTTGTTTTAGACTTCGTTTTAAAGTCACGTAGGTACGTCCTTTACCGTAGTGTTGTACTCTTTAAATTTACTTGTATACGAATAATAGCTAAAATTTAAGAGTAATCGAAATTATTAATAAGATGGCATTTTCAATCAATCAAGTGTTGCACTACGATTATCTTTCACGTATCAAGTTATCAAAGTGTTGTGACAGGTCCTAGTATCATTTTTATTTAGATTCATAATTTCGCTAGAATTAGTAGTAGTAATTACTATAAACAAGTCTTCACAATAAATTATTCAAATATTACGAATCAACAAGTTTTTTAGTGTTTTTATATCAAGTTAAGTTAAACAGATGTATTATGCAGAAAAATATAGCTAGTCATCAAAGATGTTATAAAAATTCACAAAAATAAATTTTGTTACGTGTGTGAATGTTTTGTAGTGACAAATCTTAAAAAAATACGGAAGAGATAAAAGCTTATTGCTCCTACTTTGGGTTTAGGATTCAAGTATTTACAGACAGTTTTATTGATGCTGCTAAAAGGAGTTTTTATTGGTCCTCATATAAGAAAATCTGTTAAGGATGAATTGTTTACCCAAAAATTAAATCAGAAATTACTACAAGCATGGAATTGATTTATTGCAGTCATCAAAGTTAATAAAAGGCAGTATATATATATCTCTTTTTAGATTTTTCCTGATAATCTTGATGCAGTGAGTGATGTACAACAAGAGAGGTTCAGTTCAGAGAGAAGTTAATCGATTTAAAATACAAATGACTTTACGATCGAAATATCGTTAATAGTTTTAGAATAATAATACTTGTGTCTATTCATTTAATCTGTTTCCAGTTTGAATTATGTGCATGTCCCACGAATATAGCTAAAAATACAAAGTCAAAATGTAATTAAGAAATCTGCGAATCTCCAAAGAATGCGCGTGCGACCTAACTAAATTTGTCAAAACATTCACCTCTATCAACAACGTTATTTATTTTTGTCATTTTACAGCTCTGGACTATGCAGTTTTGTGATAAATAATGCACATAACGTGTAGAAATAAAAACCTTTTATTTTATTTGCCATAAACAGTTGTAAATGCTTTATTTTATGATTATTCTTAAAATACATACAAATACATTTGTTTAGTTCCGTTTAAAAATACGGAAAGCGTGAAATTAAACTGAACCGAACTAATAATAAACTACTATTTATTACTAGGTACCAAAGACGATTTCTGTGGGAAGTCATTTACTATTTGTAAAATTAAGTCGATTAACTTTTATCTCTGTAATAGTTGAAATGTTACAACTAACAAAAAAAATGTTTTAGGAAGTCTCGCAGAAATAAAGAACCACGCTATAGTTTAAATAACTTGCAGATATTTAAACTGGAATTTGTCGCATTACATTCTTTCAACTGAGTATTATAAATACTTAGGTACTTCTTTAAAATGTCATTTTTTATGTTTTTTTCAAATCGTGCAAAGTTACGTTCTAGTCACAGAACGTCATCTGTCTTAATGCACTTCTTAAATTAATTTGACCTCTTAAATTGATTTGCACTTCTTAAAATAATAAGTCCCTGTAGTCCTTTTTTGAGAACACGTCAAAAATAACGGACTATTGTATTTACACGTAAATGTGTGGCTAATTAGATTCGAAAAGGCTTATTTACTCAAAATAACCACCATTACGGTCCTGGTTTTGATGATTTTAATTTCTATATTGTGACAGTATTTATTAGCACGGACTTATCATACAGGAGATAAGAATGTTCAAATAGTTTGTTCCCACACTTTATAGTCTGATCTAATGTACCAGACTAACCAGACTTGCACTAAGTTTATCCAAGGGAAGTAATTACGTTCATAACAGATTGCCCTAGATTCGACTGGGAACAATATAAACCAGCCCACAGCACTTTAATGATATCTATTGACTATTTTTGTAGCGTTTTTTAAATGCATAAATGTCGGTCAAGGCTCAGATACGAATAAATGTTAGTTACTTATAAGATGGAGTGTTGATATGTAATATTATAAGAAACTGCATCATGAAGGTCTGTGCCCGAGATACATTTAGAACAATAGTGCTTGTATATATGTATTTCCAGCCCACAACGGCCTTATAACTATTCTGCCTTCGCTTTATTCACGATGATAATGTTTTGGTCTAAATCGTAGTGGTGTACAGAGGTGGCTTATCCTGACTGCCTACGCGGCGGTATGTTACATGCTAACTTTCTGGATTCAAACAGCAATGATTTACTAACATTGAATTACTTGTGCCTCATAAGGTCTCTTTTGAAAATGACACTTCCCATTTCATTTTTCACACTTTCACTTTTATCGTCTCGTCGTTACGGCGGTGGACAAAGATTTTTAGTCTCGAGTTGAATAAAAACTAAGGTTCTTGATCAGCACACCAAATAACAATGTGGCAATGGCCTAATAGTAATGACATTGGCCTTCTAAAACAACTGAATGGTCGGAGCAAGCATTTAGTTTAATGGTGAGATCCATATTATTTAACTTATAAGAGACTAGAAAAACAATGAGGTCAATAACAATGTAAGATTCGAATATAAGTACTGTAGTAAATATGCATAATGTGATTGAACTGATCGGGCAAGTGTATCTATATTATGACGGTCACATTTATGTTAGGAAGTACGATAGTAATAGAAATTCCCGATACCCTGAACCCTTGGTTAATCGATTTTTCTGCGAGGATAAGATATAAGGTTGTTTGTTGCTACTGACTTACATACATTTTTGTTTCCAGATTAGTGATTTCTCCGTTCGGCTTATACTTAGGTATCCCGAATACGAAACCCCGTCGTGCGCCTGACAATCCCAAACTTGAGAGAATATACCGTGCATCTCCAAAAATAAAAAAGGTAATTTTTTCATTATAATATTTAAGAACTTTAAGTAACCACAAGTATAAAATAAACAAATAATATATATAAATAATATGCCTGTATCATAACTTTTTGTATATTCTGGAATAATGATAAAAACAGATTCCTCCACATCATTAAAAAAGTACCGAAAGGATGGTTAATGCAGCCACGATTATACTGCGTGTTCCAGCTCTTGCAAAAAAAGCTATTGTTGAATTCCGAGCATCTTTTTCAATTTTGAACAAAAATATTTTCAGGCAAACACTAAACTAAACATTTTTATTCTGACACATTTCCACGGTCTATCGAAACCATTTATGTACTAAAAGAAGTAACAATGTTTTAAGATCAATATTGTAATACAGGTGGTACGTTCCCACCCTTGAATACTCTAGGCTCACCCAAAGGAACCAAAACGACTTTAACTACGCCATCAATACATTACAAATTGTTTATTTGTTATTAAAACGGGTATAAAATTTACTGATAACTTTGATCTGCTAAGTGGGCAAAGAACTTTAGTATATCGTAATTTAAATAACATTGCCCCTCAACACACTTTATCACCTCTGCACTCACTTGGTTTGTGATGGTCTCACATCTAAATAATATAATATTATTTTAACACGAAAGAGCTTTATTACTAAATCTTATCCGTATATGATTATTATATTACCTTATAAAGATACGTATTCGACTATCTTTTTAGGGCCTCACACTTAAATGCTTTCGTTATATTATATTTCGTCGACATCAGGTATGCTAAAAATACAAATTGAAAAAATAAAAAAGTAAAAAAAAACACAATTATTTATCTAATTAATGTGTTATCTGTTAATAAATACTCAGTAGTGAATCTGAACGTTTTTACTTTCAGTATTTTTATTATGTAGTTTAATTAAATTTAAGTAGCGCTTTAGACGAGAAAGATTTTCTCGTAAGTGTTGATTGTCGTCAAGTTGTGTGATGTGTAAACACCATTATCAGGTGTTATCAATAAAAATGCGTGGGCGCTACTTGTGATAGCGACAGACAATTAATGGATTAAGTGTTTGGCATGTGTTTCGAGTATTTCTCTGTTTATGCTTAAACCAATTTTAGATACGAGTTTTATCATCAATAGAAATAATTATAAATCTCTTTAATGTACACCAAATAAAATACAAGAATAAGTAAAACGCAGTATAATGTGGCCGGTACTATGTTTAAGTTACCACTTTTGTTACATTGTTTCCAAAGATTAAAGAAATAGATACATATTAAGAATAGATCTTAACGTGTAGCAGATACAACTAAGACCAGCTACAATTGTGTAAAGAGATACCTATAACTTGAAACTCATTTACTTCCAGCCAGAACTTTTAGCAAAGAAGCTAGACCTGTCCGAGCGTGAGATACAGCGTTGGTTCCGACTTCGTCGTGCGCAAGAGAAACCTTCAACCCTCGTGAAGTTCTCGGAAAACGCTTGGAAGGTTTGCTTCTACGTGTGCAACTTCTCCTTTGGCCTGTACACCCTATGGGACAAAGAATGGCTGTGGGATATAGACCAATGTTACATTGGTTATCCCCATCAGGTAAGTCATATGTTTAAAGATTCATAAATTAAGAAAAAAACGTAAAGCACGAGGGCGGGTCAATAAGTCCGTGACTTTTGGAATAAAACACAGATTTTTTGATAAATAAATCATTTTATTTTTCAACGAAGTCTCCCTTGAGCTCTATACACTTTGTCCAACGCTTCTCCAATTTTTTGTCAACCGACCTCATTTGGCATTGGCCAAATGAGGTCGGTTTTTTTTCAAATCGTCGTTGAATCGGTCCAATAAGTTGGCATAATATTCCCCATTGATTGTTCTTCCCTTTGAAGGTAGTCAATGTGGATTATCCCGTGTGCATCCCAAAAGACAGTCGCCATAACTTTATTGGCTGACAAACCCACCTTGGCCTTCTTTGGCGCCGATTCACCCTTAGAAACCCACTGTTTTGACTGTTGTTTGGTCTCTGGTGTGTTGTGATGGATCCATGTTTCGTCCACGGTTACAAAACGGCGCAAAAACACGCTTGCGCTTGCTTGCTTGTTACACGATTGCGTTTGTGGTCGACTGTGAGCAATCGCGGCACCCATCTTGCGGAAAGCTTTCTCATGCCCAAGTGATCATTCAAAATTGAAACCACTGAGCCATGCGAGATCCCTACGGCTTCCACAATCTCTTGCACTTTCAATCTTCGGTCGGCCAACACCATATCGTGAATTTTTTCGATTGTTTCGGGTGAAGAGACCTCAACTGGGCGTCCAGGACGTTCGGCATCTTCAGTGCTTGTACGGCCACAACGAAATTCAGTAAACCACTTTTTTACAATTGAAATCGATGGTGCAGAGTCCCCATAGTATTTATCAAGCTTAGCCTTGGTCTCGGTAATGTTTTTTTTTTCGCAAAAAATAATGCTTAATAAGCACACGAAATTCACTTTTTTCCATTTTTTCCTCAAATTACTGGGTAGTCTGATAAAGATAGCTGTCAAACACAAACTAACTGACGCAGCAAGTTCAAATTTTGACAGGAGTCAACTGACAGATGCCTGTTGACAGGAGTAGTGTTGCTTTTTCAGTAAAGAGGTCAGAAATTCAAAAAGTCACGGACTTATTGACCCGCCCTCGTATGATGCAGATTGTTTTCGATATATGTAGCCGATAAATAGTTGTTTGATGATGTAAGTAAATTGTTTTTTTTTTTTACTAGGTAGGTGCACATTTCTAAACAACATATGAAGCACCTGGTCAATTTCAATAATTTTGTTAAACAGTAAAACAAAAATATTGTATACGTATAAAATACGTAACACTGCACAACAAAATTGCAACTTTTGTCTGATGAATGAATTTTAACACATGATGTAAACTAATTTAACATCGCTGATGCCAAATATACCCTTATTTTTTTGTAACAGCTATTGTTTACGAGTTATAGCTTTCACTAAAAAATCGCTGTTTTATTATTAATTTGCTGAAAATTAAAAATATTAAGTTTTCTTACTATAATTTGATATGGCATACTCAAAGCTAGGTTGAGAATCATTTTTGTTTAATTTGTGAAGAGTAAATATTTAAAAATTTCGTTTAAATGTGACAGCTTTCGAGGCTTATAAAAATTACTTTGGTCACCGTTTGGAAATTAAGCCTTGCATTGATATTGCATGAATATTTTCCGGCAAATTTTGGGTGTCTAAATGAAGAACAGGGCGAGCGATTCCAGGACCTTGGTACGACGGAGGAATGCTATTAAGACTACTGAATCGCACATATGATGGTTGACTATTTGGTTGGAGCATTCAGAACAGCTTTCTGACTTCAGCTTCAGCCAGGCAGTCAAAATAATAGAAAGTTTTTATCAGCTTAAGAACTAAATAAAATAGGAATGTCTTCAAATTTAGTGTTTTACTATAAATTACGAATGTGCCATAAATTTTTACCTAGATAAAAAATTATCAGTCACAGATTTAAAATCTTCATTAAAAATTAGACTAATGTCATGTAAAACAACCCAATCATCGGACATGCTGTTGTACAGTGTAATAAATTCAACTTTGTTTCCTATATCTGTCTAATTTAATATAAAAATCCGTAATATAAAGTTATTAGATTCAGCACTTCGCCGTTATAACAGTTATAAGTATTCAAAACACTAAGAGCAGACGAAATATCAATTCTTAACACCAGTCATAATTCGAAAAACGGTGTGAACAACAGAATTAAAAGAACGCTTCAAGTACGTATGTTAATTAGGCTAATTGTAACTTATATGCAAGTTAAAAATTTAAAAATCGTTTTAAACATTCTAGTTTGCCCAGTATTGTATACTTGCCAAACAAGAATATTTAAGATAATTAGATTAGATACTAAAGATTTCATAGAATTTATACAACTTGAGTTCCAAGCCTAAACTTAATCTATTACACCTTATAAAAAGTAGACAAATGAGAAGCCCACTATATACACTCGTACAAAGAGATTTCACAAGAATATTTTTCAGTTCAGAGATTATTTTCAAAAAATATTGTAATGACTGAATGAATGAATATAGTTAAACAATAATAGTAGAGCAACTAGGAAAGATCTATTTGTAATTTAGACATAGATATAAACTGTACAGTATATTCATTCATTTTTACGCGTTTTCATTTATTTGTAACATGTGATAGTTATAAATCTAACTAGGTTTGAGTGACTTTTCAATAAAACAGTTGTACTTAATCGACTTTGATTAAACTTATAGTAACATAAATAAATTTAGTATAAGTATCAGTTTAACACAAACTAACAAATGATTGAAAAATGAATAATTACATAGTTTTGTTTTTCGAAATGCTTAAACTTATTAGTTGATATGAAATTATAATACTATACCTCTACCATAATACCTCGAATAAGTAAAACCATAATTTTTTGTAACCTACAAGTTCTGTGATTGATGAAGCTACAATTTTTCGCATATTAATGAAAATTTCATTGGTATCGAAACAATAATTATGTATTATTTTTCTGATCCTAATTTTTAAATACGAAATCGTGTGGTGGATTAAGAATAAGGGGTGTCACTACCTCTAACTATCCCGTGGGTATCGTAAGAGCCGACTAAGGGAGCGAACTCTGCTTGACAACAGCACTGCAAAAAAAAGGAAAATTTGAAACAAAGTATACCAACCCGACTGGTATAGTAGGCCAAAACCTCCTTTTTAAGGAAAGGCCTATGTCGCACAGTGGACTGTTAAAGAGTGTAATGTACCCACAGTGTACACTGAGGGTCCACCTATTTTCTGAAGCACAGCGTACAATCCTCAGCAACATTAAAGGTTTTTTATGGTACACAGGTTGATAAGTATTAATTGATAAGTACTAACATAGTTATTATAAGTAAAATTTTATAGACGCGTGGTTGGATACGTGGCACATTGACGTATCATTTTAGTTCTGTCAGAAATGAAGATTAACACATTGAAAAATGTTCCTTTTATCATACCTTACTTGATTTTTAGTTTCTTTGTGTATGTTGTTTTTAACTTTTGATTTATTTTTGTACGCTGGTCCTTATGAAATAAATAATATTCTATTCTATTCTAATGAATTTCGAAACATAGTTTCCTAAGTGATGTTAGCATATTTCTCTATTTTATTATATTTATTAAACCTTCTAGTTAGTAGTCATCAACTCTAATCTTAATTTACCCTACGTTCGGATCATAAACCATAACATAAAACTTTATCTTCACGACAATTTACAATTAACTGTTGGTTTAAGGTTTTATGTAAATTACAATAACTATTACTTATTTTATTGATCCGTTCTAAATTTTCTCAGTATTTCCGACGGATAAATTTACTAGATTCACGTTTTTCGTAGTAGGCCAAAACCTCCTTTCCATGGAAAGGCCTATGTCCAGCAGTGGACTAGTAAAGGCTGTTGATGATGATGATGACGTCCCTCGTTGTAGTTGATAACTTCGTTATGAGAAAAGGGAACGAGATAATACTTTAAACAATTTTACTAACGGCTGCGTTTCTGTTTTGCTCGGAAAAAATCGTACGGCTATTGTAATTATATTCTGGACAATTGTATATTGTTTCATACATTTTTGGAAGCTCCGAGAGACCACTACCTGTTGCTTCTAAACTTCTAACCTTGAAAAGAATTTAATCAGCGCCTTGTAATCGAAAAGAAGATCATAAAAGTTTCGAGGTTTGTGCACAGCTGACACTGATATAAAAAGTATTTCGCGATAACGGATACACGATTATTGTTTCAGTGAGTTAAGTAATACCTACTAAAAGTGACATACGTGCCTATGTTATTTCCTTTTTTTTATAGCCATCTATGATGATTTTTAACCTACTGAAGTTGCTAAGCTGTAAACCAAAAATTATCGTCAATGGGGAGGGACACAATTTAATGCTCTATTAAATAAATTTAACGTTTAAATAATCACGCCACGTAGATAAACAATAATTAATTTTCAAAGTCATTCCGAGTTAAAATACATACACATGGGCTGAAAGGTCACGGGTCTAACAAAGAAAACGCGTTTTTTTTTTGTTCATAATTGGCTTCATTCATCGTAATCTCCATCAGGAACCTCACAATCATTCCAGCGCCGCTCTTACATATCATTACCACTTTTGTAGTTTTCATTACCTGCTTCATTCATCGTAATCTCCATCAAGAACCACAAAATCATTCCAGCGCCGCTCTAACATTTCATTACCACTTTTGTAGAACGGGTATCTTTTGCCTCAAAACAGGCCTCAGTTTCAGCGATGACCTCTTCATTCGAGCGAAATTTCTTACCGGTGAGCATTTTTTTAAAAGGTCCGCAAACAGCCGGTAGTCAAATTTGGCGAATACGGTGGATGTGGGATCAATTCGAAGTTCAATTCATGTAGTTTTGCCATTGTTTTGATTGACTTGTGCCACCGTGCGTTGTCTTGATGAAACAAAACTTTTTCTTTGTCATATGTGGTCATTTCTGTGCAATTTCGGCCTTCAAACGCTCCAATAACGCTATGTAATAATTACTGTTGATGGTGAGACTGATACTGAGACCATAACCTTTCCAGCCGATTGTTGTGCTTTCGGGCGCTTTGGACGAGGTTCACCAGTTGCTTTCCACTCAGATGACAATCGTTTTGATTCCGGAGTGAAGTGATGGATCCATGTTTCATCCATTGTCACATCGACGCTAAAACTTCGGTTTGTTACGTTACACGACTGCACGGATGGCGTAGTGGTTTAAGCGGTCGCCACGCCGCTTACTACTACGCTGAGTGTTGTGGGTTCGATCCCCACATGGGACGACACTTTGTGTGATCCACAAATTGTTGTTCTGAGTCTGGGTGTTCTTTGTGTCCGTTTCATATACGTTTGTAAAGTCCCCCGCGACACAGGACATATTCCTAGTCCGGGAGTTGCCTTTAAAAAAATATCTTTCTCATAGTCAAATGCACACTTTTAATATCTTTACGATGTCAGCTAAATCCACGCAACTTCATTTTTCGATCATTCGAAACGAATTTGTCGATTTTTTTGATGTTTTCTGGTGTTACCGCCTCATTTGGACGTCCACTGCGTTCTGCATCATCGGTGTCTCTAGAACCACGTTGGAAGTCAGCAAACCAACGTTTTATTATTGTTTCTGATGGAGCAGAGTCTCTATAGCACTTTTTAAGCCATTGCTTCGCTTGAACGGTATGTTTTCCATCCCAAGAAGCAGTGTAAAATTAAAACACGAAATTGTTTTTGATCCATTGTTTTGAAAATAACAAAAGTGTCATTTTTAGCACAATAACTCACAAACTTATGAGTTTCTTTCCTTCTTTCTTTTGAAGGCTAACTGAAAAAGCGGGGAATGCAATAAGAATAGCGCCATCTATGTGTTAGGACCGGGACTTTTCAGCCCATGTAATATATTAAAAACCAAAAATGTTGCAAATTGTCGTCGTCTGTAGTAGTTTAACCTTTAGGTCTGAACCATTTCGGTTCAGACCTAAAGGAGACCTGCCTCTGTCTCTCTTATTGTAAATATAATTATACATATTTCCATTGAATAAGTCTTAAATCTTTCGCATGTATCGATGTTGACAATTGTTTTCTTTTATTTCTGTTGTTCTTCTTTTGTAATTGTCTTCTATTTTGTTAATGATGTTCCATGTTTCCAAATAAAAATGTACATATTATAATGACGGATATTTACCTAAAAACAGTCTAGTAAAAGTACTTAGGATGGTAATATTTTCGAGACTAACATTCCTTGAAACAACTTTTCCTTTTAACTATACCTACCAATTTTCTTTAAATGAGGTTGAATTCACAATGATATAAAAGAAAATATCCAGTCTTTATTATGCATGTTATACAAAAATATAAAGGAAATTATGTAAGGAAAATAACTAGTCTTTGTTAGAAACGGCGGTTGTAGATCACAGGCATGTAATGGCTTAACTTCCTTTTGCCAAATATTTGACAAAACGGATTGTTACTATTATGTGTGTTGATCTAGAGTCTTAGAGTCTTAGACGATTTCCAACAATTGTTTTTAATGAAATAAAGATATTTTGAGTTTTATATACTAACCAGTTATATTAATATTTACACAACATCGGTATTATTAAAAAATGCAGTCCAAACATATTTGTCATGTAATATTCTTAATGTCGTACTTGGAGCTCAAAGAGTACTATTCCATAGATAAGTACTTTATAACTGTCGTTAAGCGCATACCATGTTAAACTCATTATTCTAAAAGAATATTATTACTGTCTTAAAAGTATCGTTCTTAATCATAAGTAAGGCTTTAATAAAAAAGTTTTCTGCATACATTTAATATGTAAACATTGATATCGCGACTTAGAGCAGTTCTACGAATCACGGTAGATTGCATTAAGAGGCTTAATACGCGTTATGCCTAACAGTATTCTTATGTTATTTACCTTCTCAACAGATTTTCTTATTGCAGGGATTAACAAACGACGTGTGGTGGTACTACATGATATCAGCCGCATTCTACTGGTCTCTCACCTTGTCTCAGTTCACGGACGTACGCCGCAAGGACTTTTGGCAAATGTTCGTTCACCATATCGCCACTATCGCCCTGCTATCCTTCAGCTGGGTGTGCAACCTGCACCGCATTGGTACCCTCGTGCTCTTACTGCACGACTGCGCTGACATTTTCGTTGAGGTATATACTAGAACATGGAGTTAATGACATAGTAGATGTATATACATAGTTAATCTATCCGCTATCTTAGTTTGCATTCTGCAAAGATACCTCCTTTTGCTAGGGCCTGTAGTCATCGACCTCAGGGCCTTAGGAATAAGGGTGAGCATTTAATTAGGAACTTGTACATAAATATCATGACAATTCTCTCGGTAAAATAATTATAGACATGATCCTATACACTTATTTATTTTCTTATTAAATGTTTATGTCCATTTATTACATACTTGGTGAACTTAATACCAGTCTATAATGGTATTGGTACATCCTGAATACGAAAGGAGACATATTCAACAACTTAAAAAAGAGCAACCAAGAATTCTTCCTATAATCGTAATATAAGTTTCATGAATGTTACAGTCCGTGAAAGCTTCGAAGTATGCAAAGTACCAGAAGCTGTGTGACGTTTTGTTCCTGATGCTGATCGTGGTTTGGATCGCCACTCGCGTCGGTATTTACCCCTTCTACCTAATATGGAGGTAACTAACTTTATTATTCACTTTGTTAATCACTTTACTACGTTAACTTTAACGTAACAAATAATTTATATTTTTTTTGAGGCACTTAGTTGCTCTACTTTAAGTGTCTATAAAATTTATCTTGAAGGACTTTGCACTTACAACAAAAATGTTCGTTTTTATTATCTAAATCATATTTTATTAAATATATTTGTGTCAGAAACTTCGACAAACAACATTAAATAAATTGAAAGCACCGCAAGCCAAGTGTTGTGGGTTCGAGTCCCAAACATAACAAATCTGTATAATCTTCTTTTAGTTTATTACAATAATAATGTTAATAAATAGAGCATATGACGTTCTTTGAATATGTGGTTTCAATATTTGCAACAATGAAAGCATATCCCTCAGACATTGTAATCTTTTTCTTAATAAAACCTTAATATCCGATCCTCGTGAATGGAGGTAGGACGAGAACGGGGATCGGAAGAGGTGCGGGCGGCTGGCGCGTAATTTTTTTCTTTGAGCGCGCGGTTTATCTTTAGTTAAGATTCTACATGTATGAAAACATTGTAAAACTGGTGCCAAAGAATTACATCGTTTGCAAGTCTTAGATATTTACATAGTATAAAATAAAGTCGCTTTTTGTGTTGAACGCTTAGATCTTTTAAACTAAGCTACGGATTTTAATGCGGTTTTCACTAATAAAGTAAGTGGTTCAAGAAGAAGGTTTATATGTATAATACATGCATATTATAAGTAGAGAAAATGAGGGAATTTCAAAGATTTGTCATAGATTTTCAAAGACATGTTTTTGTGAGCTTACATTGCAAACGCTGGCCAAACCAAATAGAGATAGACCAAAATAAAGTACTACGGAATTGTATATCTTATAAAGATCTACAAAAAGTATGTGATAGCAGGTATAAGTCTATCTCCTAAGGATAAACCTCAGTAAGCATTTTTATCTTTTAAATATTACAAAAAAATAATGGGTTATTAACGAAGATATTTTAAACAATACATTATTATCCCTTATCGAATCTTAATGTAGATTAAAATTGCTCTTTATAGCATTAAAATTAATATTTTAGAAGAAATCAGAGAATTAAAATCCGGGGGCCCAACGACAGTTGAGCCGTACGTCCGTCCCGGGTGCCAGCGGCCGGAAGGATCGAAACGGGCCTATAAATATTATGATAATGATGATGATGATATTATGATGATATAATATATGCTGTAGTATAGTCCTATCATAATAATAGTTTAATTAATTACTCTACACTGATACCACATTAGTAGTATCTACATTGAACCCGTGATAACCGGGGCGGATCGCTAATAAAATAATGAATGTAAATATTTTCCATTAATAAGTAACACATGGTTATATAATAATATAATGTTGTCAGTACATCGATCCGCGCCCCGATGCTGGTGCCGATGTTCCCCGCCTACTACATATTCAACTCGCTGCTGTGCCTGCTGCTGGTGCTGCACATAGTGTGGACGTGGCTCATTCTGCAGATCGCCCGCACCGCGCTACAGGCTGGACAGGTGACGTACACTAGAGACCTATTTCATCTTTCCATGAATTTACCATGCGGGTGCCAGATCCATCGCGTGATAGATGGGGCAACACATGCGATTCCCGTCAGCGCCTGGGAATTGCGACCCAGGAGTAGGTTTAGGAAGTATTCCGTACGACAGCGCTCATCTCCACTGTCTACACACATACCTTTAAATTGTTGATATTTTGTAATATCAAATGTCCAAATTATACCAACTGTATAATTTAATATCAACAGGATATTTGCCATGTTTATTTTCAAAAATTAGTTTCCGATATTTCGCATCTGCTGCAAGCAGGACTATAATCACGGATGAACTGAATCAATACGTTGAACGAACCGAACCGAACTATGTTGCGCCTGTATTGTGATAATTAGACTGCTGATAAACATATATATATATACTTATAAATCCATATATATATTAAATATAAACAAAAATGATCTTGTGATTAGACGCAATGTTTGTCTTGGATGAAAATTGAACCCACGACCTCTAGATTAGCAGTTAGGATCGCTAACCATTAAACAAACAGAACTGTCAAGTTTATTTTTTGTGTATAATCGTGTAAATAGCCATGATTGGTTGTAAAAAGCACTCTCTAACTTTGTAATACGGTACATAATATTGTTGTAGTTGTTGTATAGTTATTTTTGCTTGTTTAGATAATGATATTGTTGTGATAATTGTTGAGTTGGAGTTGTGATAGTTTTGTGTCCGATATGACACTATATCTGTTATCAAACTTAGATTAAAAGTAACTTCACGCGTCATATATGCAGTGATATTTATTAACATTGCTAAATTAGTCGGCTCCGATTTAAATTGCGGAAGCATCATCGTCATACTATAATCGATAAAAAAGGTAATAAATAAATAAGGCAAATATATAAATAGAGTCCTTTTTTCCGTAACAGATGGACGGTGACTTAAGGAGCTCAAGTTCTGAGTTGAGCGACAGTCCACATAACTCCAACAATAGCTCTCCAAGCAGGTTAAGGACTAAAAAGTAAGTGATTAAGACTCGGATGTACGCGCTAATGTTATCTATACTAATACGAGTATTATAAAGCTATACTAATATTATATATTTGTTTCGTTTAACGCGCTAATCTCAGGAACTACTGGTTCGAATTAAAATATTCTTTTAGTGTTGGATACCCAATTTATTAAAGAAGGTTATAGACTTAGTTACATTTAACATGACGCTACGACCAACAGGAGCCGAGCATCAATGAAAAATGTTGCGGGGAGAGATGCAGACGTAGTTGCGCGGTTCAGCTCGTAATAGTAGTAATGTAAGACCGAGTAACATATTGACGTTCGACCTCACTCTGTACATAGTATATCGTTTTGTATATACGTTTAGCAACGTTGATATATTTTGTGTCCGATATTGTTATTAAACATATATTTTTAACCGACTGTAGAAAAACGTGGGGTCTCATATTGGTTGTATTATTTTTTAAATTTTGTTAAGACATCACTTCGTCATTTTTGAGTTTTGAAGAAAACGTACCACCGTACGTGAAAATTACACACATCATCAATTCATCATAGTGTAGGTGTATTGAAATCGGGGATAAAGTATCACCAGTTAAAAGTTAATTATTACCGAATGTACCGACGCGTTTTCAATTACGCGTTTACAATAAATGTACCCATGTTTTAGCAAAATATTTATATTTATCATTGTTTTTCAGGAACACATAAGAGTCTTCATAACCGGTTCCATCAGTTTCATAAGAGCTACCAGTTATTTTGTTCACGGCCCAGTATGTATACACTGAGGTGTTTACTAAGCTTCGCTAATTTCTGCCACACTTACCTAACCTAACCTAACATCGGTGAAATATGATATTTAAGAACAGATGTGGTGTTTATAGTCTTCGATAGTCGTTTACTATGAAGTATACCAAATTGTGTCTAGCTTGCAGCATATTATTTGTTAAATACTTATGTTAACGAAAATTCACGCGATCACTTAATAGCTAATACAAACTTTGAATTGTCTGAGTGGACCGGGTTGCCTTGGTCACGTAAAAAAATCATGGATAGAGTTTTCAACTAACAACTTGCTTCGAACCTTAAAGGGTAGACTGCATGTAGCTTTTGAATATAACTTATTTTAATAGAATAAACCTAATCACAGTCTGTAAACAATGTATGTGCGAGTACACAAAGGGCTCGAGTTTTCGATACGGAATCTCGTAAAATTAGGTAAAACGGTGTTCGGCTGTCCAGCATTTTCAAATAATAACTGTAATTATAAATCCAAATGTGCATCTGTTTGTTTATGTTTTCGCGCCTTAATTATATCTTGAGTTTGTGCATACATGTTATGAAGGGTACAAAAGATACATAAAAACTTCGTTCCGAAAAAAACTTTCTGATGGAAAGATGTAGTGATAAAATCTACATTTGCGCAAAGCCAATAGAATTTATAAAGAAGATTTTTAGTTATAATTTTGTTAATATTTTGTTAAGTGATACTGCCAGTATGAGTTTCACAGTTGACACGTGCATTTAACGATAATCCAGGTCATCAATAACAGATTTTAAAAAAAATGGAGAAAGTGTGTTTATTGAACAGGATTATTTTGAAAATCTGCCTGTTGCAAAAAAATGCAGTGTTAATAATTAAAAAAACTGTAGAAACTCGTACTAAATGTACAATATTGGCTTAGTTGTTATTGAGGCTAGTGCCTAGTAAATTTAAACCAGACATTAGTTTGAAACTATGTGAAGTATTATGGATTTATTAATATTTCAAGTGCAAATGTGCACGAACTAATCATTGTATTTTAACATCTATCTTTTTTTCTGATAGTTTAAAAAATATTAATCGGAAGCATTGAAAAATGTAAAAACATCACAACACTAGTTTATTACAGTGTTGTACCTAAACCACTTCGTTTACTCAATCATGGTCAAAGTGTCCGTTGACAAATAATCCGGTTTATAAAAAACAATGATATCGTAAGTAAAAGAAACGGTGTTTATAATTGAGGTGATTCGTAAGACATAACATTGAATTTTTAAAAAAGCTCAAGTGTGACGCTTTTACGTAACACAATATTTAAAATATGGATGAATATCCAGATATTAAGTATACTGACTGGCTTAAGCATAGAATCTATAGAATTTTTTACATAATATGAGTTCGGTGACACTTTATTTTACCAGTGTTACAAGTTGAATATTAGAAGGAATACACCGTCTCTCGAACTACTTTAGAAAAGCATGGTGTTTCTTTCACATTTTTTCAAAATTTCAAAATTCAAGAAGAAAGCACCTTATTGCCGACGCTATTTATCTTTGATAGAAAATAAATAATTAAAAACTAATAAATCTGTTTTATTTTTGTGCCTAAAATCGATACTTCTTTTTTTTCATATTCTTTTTATTTTATATATTTCATATAAAATGGAATATTTTTCTTAGAAATGTAGCGATTTAAACACCAAATGTCATCGAACTCGTGTAATGTGAAAAATATAACACCTATTTTTTCTTAAAACATTAATGATAGCCAATTCTTAAATTCGAGATTATATAAAGTAAGGTGCCACAAGATGCTGAATAAATGAAAAAAATAATAATAGCATGTCATATGTGGCAATTGTAAAGATGTAGTTCACATGAACAACCGTTTATGATATTGTCGTATCGGCGCTAGTGGACTCAACGCCTGACACGCTTTTCGCCTATAACGCTACCAACCACTGATCACCAAATACTATAGTTAAAAACCGACATTATAAACATTGCTAAAACTGGTAATATCATACACCTGCATAAATAGTTGAAATTGTCAAAGAATTTAAAATTGTCAAAGGTAGTGATTTAATGTGTCAAGTCGTGTCGGGTGTGCATTAAAGATAATGTATTTTGGGTTAGTTAGATTAGATGATACGCAATGGCCTACGCTTTATGGTTGGAGAACTTTTGTCCGGTTAATTTAAAAACTCCGGGCTTATGGCACGGTAGGAATTTGGACTCGAACCGACTAAAACCACACGGAGTCCTAATGCTAGGCGTACGCTTGTAAATTAAACTCTTGTGAACCCTGGAAGACTAACGCCTCTTCTACCCCAAGCTGCTGCACCATTTAGTGTTTTATTCCTTTTAATAAGAGACGCGTTCAAAATACTGCTCGATCTCGCTACGCGTATGATCTTATCTAGAAACCACCCTTGGCAATTTTGAATAAAACATTTATAAATTTAGACTAAGCTCAATGTGTAGTGTAAGTGTTGTATAATCTACAGTTAGACGGACCAAAGTTCGTTTCGAGTTCGTAGTATAAGTCAGTGTAGTTATTTTGAGAGTGAAAATTATATTGTGGGCCAACCAGTTGACTATTGCTATGTGCAGTTTTGTACAAAGTAGAATCTGTTAAATTTCAACCGTGTACTCTCAATTCTTATAAAAAAGGAGCATATTTTTTTATTATAGTACTTTTTCATAACATAAAATAGGATTCTTTAACAAGCTGCACATTGTGTACAGCTATTGTATTTGTTCATCGAATAGACCATATAAACGTGGTGTAATAGGTAACTTTTAGCCCATACTTTCTAGCAGGGACCACGAAGTTGGAATAGTATTTTTTCAGATAATTGTATACTTCTAATCCCAGATTATTGCAGTTTGATTGCCTAATTATAAATGATTATTTTTATATATTCGAAGTACCTGTAACTTGTTACTGAAACTTTATTACAACATACTAAATTATATAGTAATAACAGCATTCCAAATCTACTTATTAAAACAACTACAGTACGCGATTTCTAAGCGAAAGTTCGCGGGCACGAGCGGCACTGCTGACGTTGGAAGGCCATCGCTGAAAGCTACACGTACACTTTCTCATTCCATTCCCTTTTCAGCGATAACTTAGCCATCCGATTACATCCAGTTCAACTAAAAGTGCGCATGTTAGAACAACTTTTATTGTATTAAATTTTGACTGATTAAATAAAACCGAATGAAATTACTTAAATACATATTTTAAGATATGGTTTACATTCTAACCGTAACTACGACCCTGGTTGCCTTTGTATGTTTACATAATATATATTGAATTACATTTTTGGAACGGTTTACTGTACTTATTTCCATATATACCATAAGCATATATGTATTTATTAGGTTAAAAATAATGTAATAATTCACTGTTATCCGTACTAATAATACATATTTTTGCGTTTTAAAATGAATGTAAATAAACTTTCTGTTCCCCCGGTGAACTAACTTAGCATCTCTTTTAAATCATTATTAAAATAAATTGTTATGTCATGTCGCATATAATTTTATGCAAAGAACGAGTGCCGAGTTTGTTTAGTCGGGTCATAAAATGATCTGTATTCATATTAATTTTTAAGAGGCAATGCCAGTGGAATTCTAATCTAAAATCGGTTTATACTTCCAGTGCTGCAATTATTTGTTTTATGAATGAGTGTTTAGCATTTATTTACTAGTGACTAGTGTATAAATATTTATATATGAAACAGGTATAGAATATATATTTGAAATAAAAACTTTTTTATGAAAGTTCTGCTTGAAAGACAAAGCGGATTCGAAAATAACAGCTATTTTATATTAAAAGGCATAGTTATTATCGAATCCTCATTTGATCTAGAAATTTGCATGATACAAACATGATAAATAACACTCTTTAGATTATTATATTTTATGGAAAACAAACATCCTTCCTCTCAGCTCTTCTGAATAGTTGTATTTGCGGTCTTCCTGGCGAACTCTTTAATTAAAGTTTATTCATCTCATAAAGTTTAATGAAAAAGTCAAATGTGTGTGTAATTATAAAGATCTACATGAGATACACATTTTTGTTTTTATCTAGTGGGTACTAAGTAGGTATTTATAACTATAAAAACAAGTTAAGCCGTATCACTCAAGTGCGGGTCACTTATATCCAAATATGAGCAGTCGTCAGACTTATTGTTTTTAAAGTTATTATAATTATATTTTTGAATAAGGTTATTTATTAAGCTTTTAGAGTAAAATTACTATGCAGTGTTGTTTGTTACGGCCATGAAGATTGAATAATTTCTTCTGTAGCTCTAATAAACTCGCTTTACTTATGTATTTGTTTGTTAATAAATATGGGAACACCAAGTATTCATTAAGCTGTCTATTATTATTAATAATAAAACTCCCATGATAATGTACTTCTGTTGTGTCTAAAAAAATAAGAGATCGTGCTTGTACTGTATATCACATTAAATATAGGTTTATGTATGAGTGATGTTGGGTCTAAATTGGTTTGAGATGAAAAAAATAGGTAAGAAGTTGTGAGATAGATAAGCACTTCGTCAAGTAGGTTTTAGTCTTTCAATTTGATTGGTTATTGTAGGGTGTTAGCAGCATTTTATATTTAATAGTAGTTTCAAACAAGATTTTTTTAAATGTGCGACTCTAAATTACTGGACTTGATTCGAAACGCATGGTTCGAAATTATAGAGTAGAGCGGCATTTCTACCTTCTTGAAATGATGGTATTTAGACAAAAATGATTATCATCAGCTTACCTGTGAACTGCTGTGGCAGCTGCCAATCGACTATATATGTTTTTTGGTAGCCAAGAATCTCAATTAAAACACCAATCCTAGTTATTTAAAATTCGTTTGCTCTGGGTCTTATTATTTAATAAAATACATCTTCTGCTTGGACGAAGTTTTCCTTTCTGTTATGAATTGTAGTATATTATTATTATAATTTTGATAAAGTTATCTGCTATAAACCTTATACTTGGCATGACATTCACGAGGATCATCAGTTATTTATCGACGTATCTATCTATGACTGGGTGCTTTAATAGTTCAATTCTTAACATTTACCAAAACTGGGGGTCTTTTAAGTAACTTTACTTTTCGGTTTATAATGAAAATAATAATTTCGCATTCGGTGATCGTCCTCGTTTATAAAGAGATGTATGAATAAGTAGCGATTGATTTATCTATCATTATATTCTGAAATTTTACGAACTTATATAAGATTGCATGTATATTTGTGTAAATACGTGTAGTGCGTATATAATGTACGAGTATTATAAACTGTTGTGTCCACGCAGAGCGAATTGTTCGAGCTTTAGTTTAGAAGTTCTAGTCAAATGGATGACGATAGCATGTAGCGCGTAGTCGATTATATGTATATGTATGTTTATTATTTGATCGTTCCGCTTGGACACAAGGTTTATCGTATAGTGCTCTCTTTTGTACACAAACAATGATATTATTGTATACTTCAGTAACACCGTGTTGCGTTTGAGAAATAAAACTCCGAATTTAATTAAACACGTATATTTTATTTTATTCTAGCGTCATATGCTTTGAATATAAACATATTTTATGTCTATATAGCTAAGCAACCATAGTACACTATATATCTAATGTGTCCTCGCACTATCTTCACTGTGCTTAACTAACAAAGCACTCAATTTATATTTACAGTGTGGTGGCCATACCCTATGGGCCCTATATATGGGATCGTATGCTATAGCACGCAAAGACTGATCCGCCGGTCGTGAATCATGTCCATATGTCGCGTCTTCACTGCCCGCTGTGCGTCGAAGGGCGTGCGGAAGGCGACACGCGCGTCGCCAGTGGCCTGTCCGCGCTCGTTGTACCGGCGGATTACATCATCCTGGGTTAATTCAAATTCAGAGAAAAAATTCATGATATCGTCGATGCTTGCTCGGAATGGAACATTCTCCATCGAGACCACACACCCTGGGGCTCCGAAATCGTCAAGTGCAGGATCGTGGTCATCCTCATTGCGACTGTTTTCATTAAAGCCGCCTGCACTTGCACCACCACGACCAAAACCGCGACCGCGGCCACGACCACGATCGAACCCGCGACCTCTGTCGTTGAAGTTGCCACGGCCTCTAAAGGTCCCTCGCCCTTCGTAACCACCGCGATTAAATCCACCTCTATCAAAGCCTCCCCTATCGAATCCACCGCGACCTCTGAATCCACCTCGGAATCCACCGCCTCCGCGCATAATAGGGCCGGGTTCGAAGAACTGCTGCGGCGGCATTGGACTGTTTCCTAGAAGACTATCCTGCTGCGGTTTAGGGCCCTCAAGAGCTTCCTCTACCACACTTCGTGGAACCAAATCAATAGTAACTCGACAGCCCTCTAGATTTTTTCCGTGTTTGGTGTGAGCCATTCTCGCTTCTTGAGTTGACCGGAATTCGCAAAAGCAATCACCGGACGGCATTCCGTTTGTATCTAGCATTAAATGTATCCGAGCAGGTACCGCACTCGTATCCGAAAAAAAAGTTACTATAGTTCTGTCAGTAGCATCTCGTGGCAGACCTTTCATTAGTACACAGTCGAGAGGCTCATTCTCTGAGTCGTTCGACATGACATTTGAATTTACTATCGAGTCCATTTGGTTTGGAAATTGTGGTCTGTTAGTCCAATTGGATGCGGCCGTACGAGGATCCATGGGAGCACTACCTGGGCCCTGGAATACGCCGAACTGTCCTGGGAATTGTCCAGGAAAACCTTGCTGCTGCACAAAGGGCGGTGAGAAGAATGGTGCTCCTTGGGGTTGTACCTGAAGTGCAACGCCCTTAGTGGCGGGTCCGTTATCCACCTGTTTCCGACGTTGCCGGGGGTCACGTGGGGCAGTCATCTCCTGTGGCGCTTCAATCTGAGGCGGAAAGTTTGTTTGTGGTTCTTGTGACTTATTAGTCTGGGCTAGTTTGTCCTTTTCATATTCTGCAACTGATATAGTAGTAACAGTTGCTGTTCTTCTTCCAAATATGTATCTATCTTTTCTCTCAAGGGCTAGTCTGGCGTCTTCAGGTTTAACGAACTGCACGTAAGCAGTTTTGGTCCTGGTAAGACGACAATCGTTGAGCATTATGGAAAGTAGCGAGAAATCACTAAAAGACTTAATAATATCATGTTCTTTAACGAAATTGGGTAAATCAGACATTTTAATAACACTAAGAGGAGTCTGAGATTTTGGTTCTGGGTCAGCCGTGGCTAGGCTAGTTTCCTCCTCGTCATTGTCCTCGCGATAAGGTAGAAAGGAATCTACCGCTGTTTCGTACACGCTGTCGTCTAGGGTTTCTACGAGAACTTCTGCTCCTTTTAACTCATTGCTTTTACGTTGCAATGCATGCTGTTTAGAGCGAGGGTCACAGAACCTTACATAAATGTTACCTGTCCGACGTCCCATACTGTCATTAATCATTTTTATGCCATGTTTGTCAATCAAAAATGGGAAGAAGCGGCGAACATCACCGTAGCTTGTGTGGTTCGGAGCATTTCTGATAGCAACGCAACAGTCTCTTTGTTGCTCGTTATTTTCAAATCGTGTTGGTCTTCCTTCACGCGTTCTGAAAGAGCCGCCACCCCGTGACATGCCGCCCCGTGCTGTTGGACTTTGGATCCTGCCGCCGCCATTACCGTTTTGTTCTCCTTGGAAGGCGTGTGGATTACGCTTCTTGCCTAGCTCTTGTAACTTATTGAACGCTTCGGCTATAGAAGGATCAGTGAAGCGGTTAATGGGTGAGTCACCTCGACCTACAGGCCTGTTTTGCATTACATTGTTTTGCAACATTTGTTGTATTTGCGGCATTGCGTTTTGATTTATACTTGGAAAATTAGTTGGCGCAGTTGTATTGGCAATATCTTGAATATTATCAACACTGTTTTCTTGCGACCCGGACAAAACCCGGTCATTTCTACGGTCACGAGAACGCCGCGAAGGTGATCGATCTCTAGAACGACTGCGATCTTTCCTATCTCGTTTTCGGTCCCGCCGTTCTCTGCTCCGGCTGCGATCACGACGACGCCTTTCTCGTGACCGCGATCTATCACGGCGGTCTCTTTTACGGTCTTTCCTCTCTCTATCTCGTGACCTAGATCGCGATCTAGTGCGGCGCCGATCTTTCTCACGACTGCGCTTCCTTTCCATCTTGTCTTCTTCTTTATCATCCTCGGCGTTTGAGTTATTAGCCGAAGGGCTAATTAACGGTGCAGGTGGTTCAATAACTGCGGGCTGTGGAATCTCTTGAGGATTTCCGATGCCCGGAATACCAAAACTAGAGAGTGTGTTATTACCAAGAGCTGCGGAAAAAGGAGTTAGTGCTTGAATCAGTGGCTGTTGTACAGTGACTGTAGCGGGTGCAGGAACGGTGACGGGAGCTGACACCGAAGTGGCGACCGGTGCAGGTGCAGCGAGACTGAGCAGTGGTACGCTTTGTCGCGCGGCTTCTATCACTTTGTGCATTTCGGAGCGGGAGCTGAGCAGCAGCTTCACTTGTATTTCTTTGATTTTGCCGCCGTCGAGCATCATGGCTTGACGTGCGTCTTCATCAGTACTGTAACAATAGACACGATCTATAAGAACCAAGGAAGAGAAGATTACTCTTAGAACATATACCTACATTATTATTACGATAATTATGACATAATAAGGGAAAAGGAGATAAAATTATCCCCACAATTTATTTAAAAGAGTGAGATAGTGTTAAATACACCAGTATGTTCACAATTAAAAGAAAGAGTAAATTAATACTCATCTAGGTTAATGATAGCATGTGACTTGAAAAAAAGAATTGGGAGGAAAAACGTTTGAGTATCTGCCCTTGTGTCCAATGTTGTGCCTAAAAATTATAGTTGAAAAAACTAAAAGACAGGCATTTGTAACTCCGAAAAATGCGTGGGTGCTATTTGTTGTAAACATAATTTATTGACAGATATTGGTACCTAAATGTAAAGCTATTATTCACCCCACGCTTTTTTACGATAAAAAACCGGTCAGGTACGAGTCGAACTCGTGCGCCGAGGGTTCCGTACCTACCCAGATTTTACGTAGATTTTCGCGAAAATTTGTAAGTACCACAATTTATCTTAATTTTCAACTTTTTTTATACAGCTACTAGCTGTAGTACAGCTAGGGACGACAGATTTATTGTAAGCAGCGTTTTAAGTAATCGCACTTCAAAGGCCTCTGAGTTCAGGGCTACAGGCCTGTTTTGCATTACATTGTTTTGCAACATTTGTAGTATTTGCGGCATTGCGTTTTGATTTATACTTGGAAAATTAGTTGGTGGAGTTGTATTGGCCATATCTGGAATATAATCAACACTGTTTTCTTGCGACCCGGACAAGACCCGGTCTTTTCTACGGCAGGAAGTTCGAGATGTGACAGTTAGTATTAAAACCAGAGAAGACTTAAATCAGCTGGAGTAGCGGCTTTCGTACCTGCCAGAGGGCCTCTTATTACCACAGGCCATCGTCTAGCTCGGAATAACTTTGCTGACTTTCACCGTAATTAGAATGACAATGACTAAGGAAGAGTATTGTTCACCAATGAGTCCAAGTTTTGCCTCAAGCCATATGATGGAAGGGTCAAAATGTCCAGACGACCAGTGTAACATTGTCAGAAGAAAACCTTGCAGTAGTTTGCATTGGGCTAGGAGCACGTACGGAGCTACATCAGCCACCTTAAGCCAACTGGAAAGGGCGATGGTAGAAGAAATGCCTGAAATAATTTTATTGACGATTAATTCAAAGTATGCTCAGATGGATGTAGGCATTTTTGATAGCGAGGTAACACTAGGTACTGAATGTGCCTACTTGTGTTTATGTTACATTAGATTACCTACAGATGAAATCAGCCTTTTGCTTAAGTTTTGGTATTCAATGTAATAAGTTGAGAATTTTCCGTTTCCGCACATTACGTCAATAAGAGATCTGACTGAGACTCAGTGATTTGTTTTTTTTTTCAGTGAATTTTAAGTTTTACCAACCATATATTTTTTACGAACCATAGAAAACCACCATAATATCCACAGACTTCTTACCTACTCGCAGACCTCCTGCCTTGCGGCAGTAAGTATAGTGCCCAGACATGCAAGTACGAGAGACCAGACAGTCACTTTTTTAATTATACTTGTCCATTTTAAGAAAATATTGACTAGCTATTTAAAATTATGTGTATGTTATTTATGCAGGTAAACCAAAACATAAATTGAAAATTTAAATGGAAGTAGCTGTTACATTTTAAAGCCCTTGTCTTCCGGTTTGGGATCACTAAAGACATTCATCCTAACAGCCTCAAGAAGCAAGTATTGCACCCCAGTCTAAGGCGTTCACAGATTACAGGCTAAATTAATGGCAGGGATTGTCCGTGGATGGCTCTAAAAATATAATTATAGAGAAATCGAAACCGTTCGCATTTTGTTATTCGTAAATCCTTAAGTTGTATTTGTTAATGTACGGTCGTAATTCATAACACTGGTCAATAGTGGTGCATGCCACACGAACTCTGATGGGTATCTATCCTCATTAAGAAAACGCATTTATTTGTTCCAATTACCCTCAGCTTTCTTGTGATGAGGTCAAGTTTAAAAAGTCATTTTATTTTATTTTATTAAATTGTTTTGGATTGAATTAACTTCTGTGCTTCTGCGAATATGCCGAGAGTAACTCTTTTTGTTATATTGTGGTGAACGAACGAAACTAGATTTTTATTCTGAATTTATTTTAAACTGCTATCATGAGTACTTAAATTTTGGGGTGACTCATTAAAACAAAGCTTAGGCGCCAAATATATGTGGCATAACACGTGTAAAAAAAAATTTGATTGGAAGAAAGGATAACGTCATTATGGCGTTTGCTATTCTCATGATATGAACTGAGCCTAGAGATCATGTTTCAGACTGCTATTATTGTTTTACTCCAATAAAGGGTACAAATCCAAGAGCGAAACACATACTGTGATACCCTAATTTAGAAGTAACAAAAAAATTGAACGTTTTAGACAAATTTACATTATTTTTGACATTGCACGCGTTGAAAATCGTTCTGAGGGTAAAACGATGTCATTCTAATGAGGTTAATATGTTGAATAAATTGATATTCTCGCTAGAATCCTAGCACTTGGCTACAAAGTAACGTTTCGACTGCGCAAACCACGGTAAGCCACGTACTTACTGTTTTTGACTGATTTTGTCTGTTTAACTTAACTTTGGTAGCATTTATTGCTTTCATTAATTTTGACAACAGTAACAGTTTTTTATAAGTCTTAAAAAGTGAATATTTAATAGGTCAAGGTGAATATTTCGTAAAATATTGATTTATAGCTTTTAGGTCTTTTTTCGTCAAATCTTGACAAATTAAGTCTTCAATTGACAAAAAGAATTAGATCTCTAACCTAAGTAGTTGCTGAGATCTCCGTTGCCGAGCGAGCCTCCACGCTTCGTTCGCGCGGGCAACTTAAAACCCTTTTAACTTCTTTATTTCTACTTTCGCACGCACACTTCAAGAACGAGGTTGCAAATTTTTTGGATAATCATGAGAGTGAGAACCATAAAGAATTGATAAACGAGATTCTATTAATATACATATTTTTTTATAGGTATATTAATATATATAATATATTCAGCTTTGGGTAGCAATATGTCGCTTAAAATGTTTTTTTCTAGACTCACCGCTGGTATTTTTTTCTAGGAATTAAGAGGCCCTAAGTGAGGAGTATGGAGATAGGTTCAATCAGGACATTTTAAAGAAACGGAAGCGTTACCAGGGTAGATGGAGTCTAAGCATGTTGGCTGACTACTGCTGGACCATCAAAAGCTAAATATACCAAAAAAATATTAGACCTTTTCTTTCAAATCATATTTTTCACATATTTCTGGACGACTTTATTTGTAATTCATTTTTTGTCAACAAATAAAATCGAGGTGTTATTAAAAATATCTGTTTATTTTTATTCACAATACCTAATACATAGTGAAACAATAAAAAAGAGAAAAAACGAGTGTGCTTTAGACCACACGACTGAAGTAAAACTTCTTGGTTATGAGAGAAAGAAAATGTGTGCTCGCACCTCACTCTCTTGCCCCTACAGTAATATACGAAACGTAACTCACTCTCTTTCTATCTTCACTAACTTATATCACTCTCTCAACTACCGTTTGCCTCGCCCGATCACAACGCTCTCGTCACGCATTCACCAGCTTACTCCCCACGTCAAGCGTGCGTAAAGAAGTTTCACTTCAAAAAGTTGGTGTGGCACAGGAGTAATAAAATTAAACGAGTGTAATTAGAATGTGGTGTGCCGTGACTGAAACCTAGTTGAACTCTCACACACACATACCCGTCTGCTCATTTTATGATCTATAAACGGCCACACTAAGAAGCTGTTTCACATTTTTTATATCTGTGACGCAGCGGTAGTGAACATCACGTGAAGGGAGCAGGAAACGCACCCGCGAACGCTTGGGGTTCTACAACCACGAATACAATGATTAGTTAACACTAATAACGAATGTTAGATATGGCTAGAGTTGCATAGGCAAAAATTTCATCACTATGCGTGACGCATAACCTTTTGCCACAGGGTATTGTGCCAGTAACTTCGGTAGGTGTTGGGCGAGGCTCTAAGCACTTTTCCCAAAAGTCGAAATGATTATCAACATCACGATTACAAAATCTGAGGAAATTTTGCAATCGTTCATGCCGACGAATATTTCTTTCTTACTTAACGTCGGACTTTACTTTTAGACGAAATCTGGGGTTTCTCGCAAGAAATCACCATGTCGTAGCCATGATATGTAGATGCTAATAAATCAATATTAGGCCCATTTAAAACTAGATGAGATCGTTCGTGTAGCTATGTGCTCTTCGATATCGCCTTGCGATCATGAATATAAAGTGCTACAGATTTGCGCTAGTTCTTCTATGCTACAATAGGCAGCACGAGTCCATTGTGTACACATATCACATTCCGACCAGGGTCACGTTACGGAGAACAAATTTCTAATAATAAATTATCTCTTAAATTACTACCTACTCATATTTCCCCCTGTCAAACCTATATATAAATAAATGTTTGACTTCTAGACCCCGAAATATTTGTCATATGATTACTTCCATTTTGGAGTAGGTAGCTAATATTCTGTTTCTTGCAGAGTTCTAGCGAGTTGTAGTTTACAACTGTAGAAATCGTAATAATAAGGGTCTTATTATTACGATTTCTGTGTTTACAACGAATGCGCCAATGACGTTCGATACGGCGTGACGTCGACTATGACGTCAATATGGCAATATTCGTAAATTAAAATAAAAACTGTGTGAATAGGTATAAATAATGACCTAATCCCGTGAGTATTAGGCTAGTTTTTAACGCGGCCTTCTAGGGCCAAGAAGTGCCGCCGACGGTGTCAAGCATTGCTACAACCTACTTGTATTACCTCCATTTATATTACCAAATATATTATTGCATTAAAAAATCTTACAATAATCATCCTATGGCATTTAAAGTACATATGGTAATTAATTTGCCCTTATTTAAGCCACAAAAAGAGAAGTG